GCCAATTCTACCTATGTGCTCTGACTTTGCCTTGGCAATAACTCTTTTGAAGCACCTGGAGGCGAAGTTATACTTCTTTTTAAGTGTGCTGGTGTTTACATCCCGAGTCACCGAAGCCGCAGCCCAGGCTTGATAACACTCCTGCTTACTGCGTAATGCAGTCTTACAGGAGCGACCAAACCAAGGCTGAGATCTGCCTCCGATGGGTACCACAGATGATGGAATAAATAGTTCCATTCCCTGTAGCACTACATCAGTGACAAAGTCAGCAACAGCGCTGGGATCATCCGGCGAGAAGCAAACCCGCGTCCCAATCCGCCGACCTGTAATGCCAAACACGGCGGCAACCTGCAGAACTCAACCGCGAAGGGAGCGTGAGTGGCACCATACTCCGGATCAGAAGAGCCGAGAGGGGCAACGATGGAAACCTGATATCCGTCCGGATGAGAGGTCAGCAGAAGGTCCAACAGGGAAGGTGTATGATCCTCCACATCTGGAATCCACGTAGGCGAAGTAACCAGTTGTGTCAGATATGGTCTGCCAAGGCAAAGTCATAAACAGATCTCCCCGCATGATCGGTTAAACGTGAACCGAGCCATTCGGCATGGTGGGCGTTAAAATTGCCAAGGATCACGATCTCTGCGGATGGGACCTGTTGTAGCAAGGAATCTGTAGCCATTTGGACGTGGTCGATGAGTCGGTCTGTTTCGGCATTACCGCTATAGGATAGGTCCTATAGCGGTAATGCCGAAACAGACCGAGAGGCACCCGTAGACGCGCGGATACGCGTAGCCAAAGGATGGACAGGTCCGAACCTTCAAGACTGCCGAGGCGTCGACAACAGATGTCCTCTCTGACATACACGCAAACTCCAACCGGAGGCACAAAGAAGTGCTCCAATTTGTACCCCGGGTGGGAGAGATACGAAATATCAGCCGGAGAGGAAACCTGCGTCTCGGTCAGAAAGAGCAAGGCAGGCTTCGCCGTCTCGAGGCGTAGTGGACGGCGTTTAGGTTAGAGTGAAGTCCCCTGATGTTGCAGAAATTCACGGATAGCGTGGCAGGGGTCGCCTTGATATTGTTGCTCAGTTTGCCCCGAGCAGTTATGTTTTTGAGCGGAATTTTGCCCCCCCCCCCCCCCAGAATACGCGGGGCAGCCTGAGCACCCACGCTCAGGATTGGAATAACATGGTCGTGGATGATCAGCGAGGGATTCTCCAGGGGTACTGGTACCCTCCTGGGGTAGTCTATCGTGTAATTCCGCTACCATGTTGATTGGGGGGGGGGGAGAATTAGGCCTCCGGCTACCTGCACACACCAGACGAAACGCAGAAGCAGAGCTTCTACTTCACACCGGTATTCGGTGAGGTCGTGGTACCAACCCGGCTCGAGCCAGCCCATACGTGCAACAGCAAAAACTGCTGCGTAGCTCTACCACCGTTATATATATAACACTTAATAAAACACTTTTGGCAGATCAAGAATGACAAAAGTGTTTTCAGAGTTGGTTTAGGCGAATGGAACTTTGTATACAGCATGATAGAGAATATTTTGAAAATATGTAAAATTAATGTTAATAGTATCTAGAACAAAGACGTATTAAAAAAGTTAGACAGGTTACACACTAACATTATTGTATTTTAAAGTGGCGCAGGTAGTACTATATCTACGTACAGTTATTTATTATGACACGTTGCGCTAACAAAAAGAGACAAATGATAGGGCATACCTATCGTAAGAAAAAGATGAATATACATCGTTAGTTGCGTATTGATTGCTGCCGAGTGCTCATTGGCGCGAGCGCGTAACATACCGATATGGAAAATGAACACACTCGCTGGCGTCAAAGTTTATACTAGCGGTTAGTGTTGAAATAATAAAACCAATTATGAACAAAACATCTATATTCAGAATATTAGTGAGGCGTTTTTCTTGTCTCTAACAGTTGCCGTGTAATTTGTGCACCACTTTAAAACACAGGAAGGCATTTTTGCCACGAACATCTAGAAGATTTACGCGCTGTAGCGAAGGTATAACCGCGACGCGAGTGCGTGCCCGACTGAATGCGAGTCGGGCAATTACCTTACTTTCGTATTGCCATTTTAGAGCGACTATGACGTATCTATACCTTGAAAAACATCACAACTGGTTTAGGAGCGTGGTCTAGTTAATATTGCAATAGTGGCTGATGCAAACCTCGGTCATAAAATACAAAATTCGCTTTGCTTATACAGGGACACAAAATAATATTTTTTTAATTTCAATAGAAGATCGCTTTGCGTACAAATATTATCGCAGTCAAAGTAGGCGTTTGTACAAAAATGACGGCCTAATTATAAAAAGTAGTATAAAATTAGTATCTGATTAGTATGGAATTTAACAGCAATACAGCAATCGTTAAATTTCTTTCTCGGAAGGAACTCTTTTGCTAGAATTATAGAAGTACTATTCTTAAACCATAGCTTAAACCCGAAATATCAGTAACCCACGTTTTGGAATAAGGTATCTACTCATATATTTGGTATTAAATAATTCTAGAAACGTCTATGAACTATACTATATTATAAATATTTTATAAATAAATTCTTTATTACTTGTATAGTATCTAACTTATTAAGAAAATACTTTACAACGTTTATATGTAAATTAAGACACTCTTTTGACATATTTTAGATAAAATAGACACGTATTTCAGATAGGTATTACACATACAATTTAAATGAATGAAAATTTCGCTAGGGCATTGCAATGAAACGAATTGATAATGAGTTTGCTATCAAGATTCATTTGTGCCTAGTTAGGAATTAAACATATACTATACTATATTAATGGTAACTTCTAACGTGCCCTTCATTATTAATTAAAAAGGACCATTGAACAGTAACTTATTGTCGACCCTGATAAATATTGGCCCACGCTTTCAAGTACTATTTACAAATGATAGGCATTAATATTAATATAATTTATTAACGAAAATCTCGAAAGATGGTTAGTAATTAAAATAAACAACTTAATATTGGGTATTTTTTTGTAATTACTACTCTCCAAATTTGTATTTGCCGCTCAGTAAGCACACACATTAAATGATATGATATGAACTTGACATAGTTTTTTTGTAACTTCCTTTGATTTTTGTGTGACAAACGAGCACATAGTCCACCTGTGGTAAGTGTATGGTGTGCCCCATAGACATCTACATTTATCCTCAATTAAGAACCAAAATGCAGATGAGAGAGTTGTTATCCTTGAGGACTAAGATAGTATGCCGCGCTTCCAGTAAAAAGGGTATCCGCTTAGGTTATTGATAGGTCTTCGCGCCCTCAGACGGAGCTCAGTCAGAGCGCGCGATGACCCATTATTAATCTAAGGGTATCTGGTTCTCTACACTTATCATACGAGACATAGCAGCATTAAGCTGCTATTTTACGCTGGTATTCTGTAGTTTTAAAAAGATTTTCGGAAGTCCTAATCTTAATATGTCACGAGAGATATTATGTCACGTCTCCGCGTTCTGTGGTTGGAGTCCGATTCTACTGTTTTTAAAAGGAAATCTGTGAGCGTGTAACGTAACTTTTTTGTGTTTCTTTCCTTACATCAAGATCATATGATGGCATAGACTCCAAACCAATTTTATTTGACGCATATTTTCATAATGAACGCCTGAGTTTTATTATTATTATTTTAAATGATTTAATTTACTTTGCCGAAATAATTTTATAGTAAGCGATATTTTATGTACAAGTGCCAGTGCCAGGTACAAGTGCCTTCTGGATTTATATTTTACATTGGTTTCATAATTTTTAATCCTAATAATAGATTATGTTAATAATTGATGATGACTGTTCATGGCAATAAAAAAAATATAAATTAAAGAAACAAAGTCTTATAGTACTATATACTACCTACATTGACAAAAATTATGCTTTAAGTGTTTGGTTTAGTAATATCTGGCCTGAGATTGTGTTACTAATCATTGAACTATTTTTGTTGAATACTTTTCGTTTGCTAAATAGCGTAGAAGGCAAAAAAGAACATTGTTTTGTGTTCGCTTTATTTATGAGTTATTATCAGAAAGGTACTGAAGCTCATTTCCTGTTTTATTTCCCTCTACCGCCGCTTAAGACACCTACGGGATGTTAATATGGGATATGGGATATTGAATATTCTTACGCCGCCCTTACACGGCGTTCCTATAACTGATATAAATATATTATTGTGAATCGATCTTAAATATGTTTGCTTGACACGCTGTAACAACGCTTAATTAGAAGTAGAATTGCAACTAAATTTCAGTTTTCCAATGAGATCAACCTGATGACCTAAAATTTCTCCGTCATATTTTAGCATTAGCTGTGCCATCTAACCCTTCAATAAAAAAAAAATACAGCTAAATTATTGATCAGAAGAAAATAGGATTCAATAATTATATCTACTCATATCTACGTGGTAGAGCCATGCTGCAGCTATATTATGTTTGTAGCACGAATGGGTCGGCTCGACCGGGGAAGGACCACGCTCTCACAGAAAACCAGCGTAAAATAGCAGCTTAACGCTGCTGTGTTTCGTATGGTGAGTGTAGAGAACCGGAGACCCTTTTTTACTGGCAAAGAGGCATTCCATCTTAGTCCTCACGGGTGACAAATCATCTGCATCTTGAGTCTTTATTGAGCATAGATATAGATGTGTATGGGTCACTAACCACTTACCATCAGGTGGACTGTGTGCTCGTTTGTCACCCGATCCTATAAAAAAATGTAAGCCGTAAATTAATTAGAATAGTATAAAAGCAACACATGTTAAGACGTAATATTGAGTAAATAATTATTGTGATTTAAAATACAAATAAAATATTCCTTATAGGTATTAATAAGAAAAACACAAACATATTAATTTCTTTATTATTTGAAAACAAAAGTTAATCTTTGCTACATATTAAAAAAGAAATATTTTGAATAGATTATTGTGTACTACAAATATTAGAGTTAGAAAGCAAATACAAACCATTTCTCCTCGGCCCCATCGACTTTTATGTCTGGAATATTCGGTATCTTCTTGTTCAGATAGGCTGAAGAAATTTTCAACAGTGCCTGAGAACAAAAACATGTGTTTTAAATTGTGGTTTACACGAGCGTGATATTATGTACTTATTTATTGTTTAATTAACTTTCATGAAGGTTGTTTCGATTCAGTGGCCGTGTTTCTTAATAGGCTTAGCGTTAACGCCTTTTCGTTTGCGTTATTTTGTAATTATTTTGAATTAGTGTTAATAATTGGCAATCATTAATTCGATATTGTTCAATAAATTTTATTTCGAATATTATAGACTAGCCCCGGCTTCGCACGAGTGATATTTTAATCTAAAAAAAAAAAGTTATATGTAAATCTTCCTCTTGCATCATTCTGTCTATTGATGAAAACCGATAAAAATCCGTTGCGTAGTTTAAAGGATCGTACAGACGACGAGAAGCGACTTTGTTTTATACTAAATGGGGTCGTAAGAGTAATTTAATTAATCTGTGTGTTATATTAGGCGACAAAGGGATATGAAACAGAAAATGAGCAGCAGCTTCGTCCTGATAACATCGCAAAATAACAAAAAGGTGTGGTTACCAACCAGCCTGTCATGCGTAGGTAACCATTAACTTTTTTATAGACTGGCCTAAGGCAAAATTATCTCAAGCTTCCTTTCAGTTTTCCAATGAGATCAACCTGATGACCTAAAATTTCGCCGTCATATTTTAGCATTAGCTGTGCCATCTAACCATTCAATTTAAAAAAAATACAGCTAAATTATTGATCAGAAGAAAATAGGATTCAATAATTGTAAGCGGTAAATTAATTAGAATAGCACAAAAGCAACACATGTTAAGACGTAATATTGAGTAAATATTGCCTTTGCCTCAGAACTCTCCCTTCACTCGCTCGGTTCGCGCGCCGTGGTCACTAGCCACTTAAAGCTTCCCCTCGCTAGGCTTGTCATCGCATCTATTTCAATTTTTCCTAGACTAGCAATTAAAAATATTAATACCCAAATGACTCTGTTCTCTATTTATTAATTAATTTGTTTACACCTTATTTTGCAACCTGTATAAAAATGTTTACAAAGGGAGGACTTAATGCCTTTAGGCATTTTCTAATTTGCCTAATATACAAAAATAGATTTTATCATTATCTATCTAGTCTAGACATAGTAGTACCTAAGGTCGCGTCAAAGGCGCATCTTTGCATGTCTGGTACCTGCAATTACCAATCCACCTGTTAAAATTGGCAATTACGTAAAAGCCTCCTTATTATGGAAGAGATTCATGTCCAGTTAACGACTATATTTACAGGCGAAAAGGAAAATTGTTGGCATTTCAAAAAAAAAAAAATTACTCGCAAAATATTAATTACCCGTGAAGTGGTGGTATTAAAATATCCACTACCCCATGTCATGCCATGGGTGTTGTAAGGAGTTACAGGGAGAAACAAATCAATAGATGGGCAGCAGCATTTTTCGAACTAGGAAAAGAAAACACTGCGAGTGAAAACCCGCCTTTCAAACATGGAACTGTGGCAAATATCCTCTTTTTGTGGCGGACTTTGATAAGCTATCTTGAATGAAAAATATAAATAAAATTTCAGAGAAATTATTTTATAATGAAAGGATTTTAAGCGAGTTCTCTAATAACACACAAATTAATTAGCCAACATGAAGCATGAATAGGGCTTTGTGTAGAGTTGGTAACTAAATATTTCGTTTCTCTAATATTTCCTCGTTACGAAATGTTTGTTAAATTATTTCTTGAATTATAATGGCTTACGATCAAAGTAATGCCAAGGCCTTTGTAACAATATCTTTAGCTCTTCTTCTCTAACGGCGTAAAGTCTACAGCCTGCCAATGGTCTGTACCAATGTAGGGGTTATTGTTCCTTGGCAGGCGGACTGGCGACCGCAGTACCAGTCAACGGTCTGGGTACTTTAGGTACTGCTGTACACGAAAAGGTTATTCCTACATATATCTGAAACTATAAGTTTTTATAGTTTTAAATATATGTCGGAATAACCTTTTCGTCGGAATAACCGTTTCTGAAATTATAAGATTGATGACCACGTTAGTCTTTTCCGAGTTATGAGATCTCTTTAGGGCTTTGTGGATACATTTTGTCATTCTGCGGGGTATAAAGTAAGTACTCTGCAATCATATTTTTTCTAAAAAATAACAACATTTCTGTGGCTTCCACTAGCATATGGAACAAACGGCAAGCATTTTGATTGATTTATGGCATATGTGACACAGGGCTGCTGAAGCTAACTGCTTATCCTCGATAAGCAGTTAGCTTCAGCAGTCTATTATTTATTTTTATCTATCACGTATTATTCAGTAGTGCAATAATGCTGTTTCATACCACTTAAGAATAATTTCTGTTTAGTAAGAATTTTAAAGTTTTTGATATATATATATATATATATATATATATATATATATATATATATATATATATATATATATATATATATATATATATATATATATATATATATATATATATAGGCCCTGCACATTTTCTGGGACTTTTGTAAAAGTGTAGATATACGAGTATGTTGCCCAGGAAGGAATTACTCGGCACATCCCGATGAGGAGTTGAAGGAAATGAATGAGGATATCTCTAGAGCCATGCATTCCTCCAAATCCACTATGAAGTGTTAATGCAATATCCTAGCGGGAATACCCACTGAGACGAATGCCGAGCGATATATGCGCGACGTTATAGTATTACAGAATTATGAAGTAATAAATAAGCATATTTAAGGCAAACATGAAATATTGCCTATTATAGTGTAAAGGAAATTTAAATACTGTATTTGTTCACAAGTATGACACGCCTCACCAGTCTTGAGCACAGGCACAAAGTAGCCAGCCTTCCGAATTTCTACAAGATACATTAAAGAGAGTGTGCAGGAATTGCATAAGTTGATTCCTCCCTCACCTCGCCTCTACCATCGAATAAACAGACGTTTGGCCAGTCCACCCTTTCGTTGTCGACATACCACACATTCGAACCAAACTGTTTACTCCATTGTTCGTCATGCGTACTACAAAAGAGTGGAATAAGTTACCTGCATCTGTCTTTCCACCCGATTACTCTGTGTGTGTTTTTAAGGCAAGAGTGAATAGGCTTTTGTTTAGTCGGTGCACTTTAACCTCATCGGCTCTATTACCACTTACAATCAGGTGGAACAGTAGTCAAGTACTATCATAGAATAGTAAATAAAATGTGGCAACCATCGGCCTCTTCGTCCATATCAATGGGAAGTGTAAACATTCTTTCGGAAAAGCTTAATATAACAAAAAAAAGTTTATTATATATTCTCATACATTGCCTCATAAATAACTTATTTTTGTTACCACGAAATATTAAACAGTATGCTTTTAAATGGGGGGGGGGGGGGGGATTTTAAGGGAACGATCTTGTTAAAACCACAATTTTTCGCGCAATTACAGATGACGCAAAGCTTCAATGTGGCTCGCATAGTAGCTAGCAAACTTAGTTCTGCAGCATATGCTGTAATAAAGATTAAGAGGCCTTAAATGTGTTGAAACAGCTAGATTAATCTATTTTAGTTATTTCCATAGCATTATGTTGTATGGAATCTTGCCATGAGGTAATACGACTGACATTGAAACTATCTTTAAAGAGACTTATAACAGCGATTTTTAACCTAGATCTCTCTCATTTATTTTCTCATTTTCTCTTAGATTTCTCTCATTTAAAGAAATAAATATATTAAGTGGTCACAAGCTAGTTAGCTAGTTATACTATAGTTATTCGACTCCCAAGAGTCAGTTATTCCTTCCTCGGGCTCCTTTTACAAAATTCCCAGAAAATGTACAGGACCTATACAGGGTGGCGATTATGTTATCACATTAAATAACACAGCGGTATTATACAAGTTCATATATGTCGATTAAAATAATAAAATAAACAAATATAACTACCAAAAATAAAAAATACATCTTTTAGACAAAATAAATAGCTTAAAAATTGACACGAAATAAATCACCTTGATAATATTAATTTACTGACCTAAGTGACATGTAAAAGCGGCAACGGTGCGGCAGGTACGCAGTGCTCACGCGGCATCGACATAGGTAATTATTTACCTACACTTTCCCGTTCATAAGTAATTAGGCAAAAAACGAAAATAAGAGCTATTGCGACTAGAATGTTAACTGTTATATATTTTTTAGTTGTGTATGTACAAAGAACGTTATATAGGATAAGATTTTTTCATTTAATATGTGATAACTTTATCGCCACCCCGTATATTAAGAACTTTAAAATTCTTATTAAACAGAAATAATTCTTTAGTAGTATAGGACAGTGTTATTACTAAAGAAAACATGATAGATAATAATTAATAATTCCTATGTAATGTTGTAAATGTATAAATTATTCTAATTGTAATATTTCTACAACGGATACGGTAGTATATCTGAACCATTCTATAATTTCAACATCTGAAATTACCATATACTAAGGAATAAATGATATTGTATTCTATTCTAATAATCCTCGGAAATGAGGCGACCGCTATCATGCTGTTATAAATATTTTTATACTTAATTCTATAAACTAATATCGGTACTGTAAATTAATGTTAGTAAGGAGGCAAATGGTAATAGGATAGATAAGCAATATAGGATATGTGATGCATCAAACTTTTTCAGGACTAATTTATTAATTACCTTAGCTACAGAATCCGGATACACTTTATTCTTGTGTCACTTTATTGTTTTTTGTATTTTAATGAATTATAATATAATAATAATAATAATTTATTAGACTCTCAGTTTCACAAATTACACTTATGTATTATATCTATTTTAAATTACAAAGCTACATTTCAAAGATAAAGCGATAAAGTTAGCGTTTATTATAATTTCGAAATGTTATTAGGTTTCTTAGAATAGGACTGTAAAAATGTAATAAATTCATACTTTCTCAATGTACAAAATAAACGTCAAATTATGATAACATGTACGAGGTGACTTTATAGGTACTGCAACAACTAGCTAGAGCTTAAAGAGTTGTATTATTTTACTCCGATCTTTCTAATAAGAAAATTCTTACCTCTGAATATGATTTTTCGATAGCAGAACGCTTGATGACATAAGTGCGCAGGTCTTCTAATAAGTCGCATTCATGCTGGTTCTTAGCGTGTAGCTTAGAGATCTGCTCCGTGTGGAGATTCTTCAAAAATTTGGTATAATTGCTCTGAAAAAATACATTTTAATATAAATATCTGAATGAATAGCAGTAGTACGAGTGCAGCACTGCAGCATACGAGTATGAAGCAAACCGGAATCCAAAAAGCACCTTATCATATTTCATTGGTGACGGATTGGAAATGAGGCATCTTAGTCCTCACGGGTGACAACGCATCTGCATTTTGATTTTTAATAGAGGATATATGTATATGTCTATGGGCCACAGCAACCACTTACCACCAGGTGGACAGTGTGCTCGTTTGTCACCCTTATACTATAAAAAAAAAATTGAACCCAGGCTGCACGCGTACCATAAAATTTACGGCGAGCGCTTAGTGCCTGAGCTACCACGGCGAATTTTTTATCAACTTTATTAGGTTTTCTTCATCATTCTGCAAAAATCACCAACTTACAGATTGTGGAGTTTACCAGAGAGTGTACTGACGGTTGGCGGCATAAATAGATAATCGAGTTTCACCATTTACTTATTTATTCATTCATTACAGTATATTTAAAGTCCACTGTTTAACATAAGAACATAAGCCTCCCATAGATCGCTTCATAGCGGGATTATAGCGCAGCAGCCACGCATTAATATGTTTGCTATTTATCAGGAAGATGCTGCTGTCGCTATCCTGTTTTTTCATTTTCTCTCTGTCGCCTCTTAAGCAATCCCCGGGAAAATATAGGGGTCGTAGATATTTTTGTGCCATGGTGCATTAACACAGACGGATTATTACGCAGAAAACAAGTCCCTACTCCTAGATAATTACTCATGGATATGTGCTGGCGGTTTTACTAAAATAAGCTAAAACAATGATTTTATTAAAAAAATAGTTTTTAAATAGGTAATGCTGTTTTAATGTAAGTACCTTTTAATATATAAGCTAATGCTTGGCTACTTTACTACCCAATGGCACGTGATGGTACCTACTTGTGACTTAAGGACAACTTTGTAATAGAATGGAAAGACAGGTGCTAGTAATCTATTCCACTACTTTGTTGTACTCGTACGCACTACGAACGATGAAATAAAACGTGAATTTTAAAAATAAATCCGTAAATATAAGTTTGTCATAAAAGTTTCCTTACCGGTTTGACTCTCAAAGTATACTCTAAAAATATATATTTTCTCAGTACCTAAGCAAATCGCTAGTTTTATTTCTAATGCTAATACTAACGCTGACTTTTATTACAAACAATGTAGTCAAAACTAAAATATTTAAAAGGAATGGGAGTCCCGTATAGGTTACTTTTATGAGTTAAGAGTAAGCGGCAGGTGCATTTTCTAGCGTGCAGGTCGTTAAAACGACTTTGATGTTTTAACACATTGCAAAACTTGTATTTTTTTTACAATGTTTATCTTGGAAGAAATACATGTCATAATATGTTTATTTTTATGACGTGTAGCACCATAACTTATTCTATCTTGGTCACACGTATAAATATATTCGACAAAGTAGATGGTCAATTCAAGCAAGACGCGTCTTGTGTTCCTGGTGCGCCTTACCTGATAAGAAAATGGGGGAAGAGTAGTGCTGTCTCAAGGAGGGGCTGTCATGGGGCGGACGGCGCTGGTAGGGCCGTGGATGTGTGCGAAAGAGTTTCCGTGGCCCTGCCAATGTGCGACGATGGCGGAACACCACGGGGTTTTAGTCGGTGCGAGTCCGATATAATACGTCCTTGCCCCCGCAAGGCGGGTATGCATAGGCATTTCTCCATGTAAGAAATGATACGGAATGTGACAGGCTATTTTCCCTCTAGATATTTGTCGAGTTGAATATTGCGATTACACAGAGTTTATATCACTGTATGATAGAGATTCAAGTTTGTGGTCAGCGCTTAATTTGAAGTACGTTTGTGTAATTCATCTTTAGATTTTTTAACTTTAATGTATTTTCTCAAGGCATGTAAAATAATTTGTGTCTGCGTTTAAAAAGAAGATATTGTAGTTATATATTTATATAACTAATCTAGAATAGCTTTCCTTTTTTTATTTATAACGATAACGATAATAATTTAGGCAGCAGAGCACACGAATTTCCAGTAGTAATGAAAGACAACCGCGACTGTCATCTTGTGCCATGGATAAATATGTGCGAATTGATTATAGACGAAAGTAAATGTCGTTACGACGGTTTGATCAACAGTCCATATTACAGTCGCAACGTGAATAGTGCCTTTAGTGATTCTAAAGTCAATTATTGTAATAAACGCTGGTGTCTTGTGGCATCGTATAGCTCCACCTTATTTTTTCATGCCGTTTGCTACTTCATATTTCATATAATGTCTATTACCTAACTGTAATTATTTTTCATCGCTTTGTTATCATAAAATTCAACAAAGGAAATTACTAGAAACACTTAATAGCATACGTAATATGGTGTAATCACACCACTAGATATAGAAGATCTACTACTAACTGGATATAGGCCTTTCCAAGAATTCGCCAACTTTAACTTCACAACACTTCAATAAATTACCTAGTAGATTTTTTGTCTATACTATGTCGAGCAGGCGGATTCACCTCTGGTGACGGACTGATGGCGAAATATTTACCCAAAACCATTGAACCCAAATTTTACAGAGGGGAGCAGGATGACCAGTACGAATTCTAATTAATTATACGCTCACAAACCATCAAAATATCTTAACGGATGCTGACTTATTTTTGAGAATGCCTGTGACCGACGACCGATTTCGTGTAGTGATATGATGTGTAAATTTAACTGGAGATTGAATCAATTAAAAACATTAAAAAGACTTTACTTATAATTTCAAAATATTTTTGCAATATAATACTTAATAGTGCTGTTGTTAAATCACTAACATCAGAAGCCATACAACATGACATGAAGCAACTGTGAAGGAAATACCTATATATTTATAGGTAGGTATGTATGAAACAATTTTAAGCCTGGACAATTTTTATTCTATAGTGACAGAAAGTTAACTATCTAGTTATAACTCAATGATGGATATTTTAGTTTGTGATTTCATTAATTACATCTTGAAGTACATATCGTAATACAAACAAGTAAGTAAATGCCCCCGGGCCTCGAAAATCGCGTAAAGCGCTTGATACTGCGCCTAATTCCTCGTATCAGATTGCAGTCTCATCGTACTATGAGACTGAGGGAACAATAAACAACAAACAGAACAGAAAACAACAAAAGTAATAATGAAACATCTGCTAGTTTTCGAAAATATTCAAGAGGGACAACAGTAATCGTTATCGGCTAGGACTCAGCTGGTCGTCATATTGTAAAGTATAAAATGTTTTCATGTTCTTTATCAGACCGTAATAGCTCATAACTATGTATATCAGGGTATCAACTTATTCTGTTGCACGAAGAATTTGCCGTAAGCGCCATACTTGGCTGACACATTGCCATAGCAGTACTGGCAGTACCATAGGTACGAGTATGTTACTCTTTTGGCGCTGCTCACCATCGCCGGTTTGGGTACTTTACATCTGACTTAATATACAAGATGGTAAACCGTCACCCATCGAATCCAAAGATATAAAAAATCCAAAGATATAAGAAGATAAATACGAGTAATTCGATGTAATGAATTAAATTAATAGCCCGACCTGACTGTTCTTCTACTGGATAAAAAACATATTCTCTTGATTCTCAATTTTACCGCAAGTGTTTGTAAAATGCCTACATGTTTATTAACTCATTGGATTTAACGAGGTCCGCGACACACCAAACTTCATGCATGCCTTAACAAGGTCTTGCGGAAATATAATTGCCGTATGTCGTTATGTCTATTATATTAGACGTAAATATATATTATTACGTTATGTCTGCGTAGAAAGAAAAATTGAATAGCTTACGTCTAAAAATCTTAGTTTTTGCTGAAATTTGCTATAATTCATAAGTATAAAGTTGATATGAAATATGTCTTTAAGTAAAACTAATACTTAATAGTAATGAAATGTCTATGACTTGCCTTTGTTTAAAGTATAAAACTCGTTTTTAGAAACTTGTATTGATTTATTATTAAAACTGTCTCCCGTCGAGCAAGGTGTACAGTTTAAGGTCTCTGCCCACTACACCGTATCATACCATGACCGTGCTAGGAGCGTATCAGGCACGAAAAGCAACACGATACGCTCTACTATGCCTACTGAACGGATCGACGGCGTTCTGTGCCCGTATACATCCCGTATGATGCCAGTATGCAACCCGTATGTAACCCGTATGATGCCCGTATGCAACATCCGCCAAAACCAATAGGAATCCGTTTCATTCTCGCATGCGTAACAGTGTTGCGTGGACGTCTTGGAGTGCTACCAAATTTTTAAATGGTAAAGTAGGTATGGCTATCAGAAAATTAACTGTTAGACAACTGGCGAAGATTGCTTTAATATTGGATGAGGAAGAAAAAGAAAACAATCCATTTTACAACGTCTTTACGTCTCGTTAAACTGACAACAAATGACTAAGTTACGGCAACGCGCTTACAACGCCTGTATGACGGTCATCATACGCGTTTACAATCCGTATACTCGCCGGCAAAATATTCTCGCCGTCATTTCTTGACGCTCCGTGCATGGCACGCGACGTTGTTGGTCGGTGACGGAACGGTCTAATGGGAACAGTGTCGTACTTTTCAATACAAATAATATTTATTTGCCTGACACGTTCCTAGCACGGTCATGGTATGATACGGTGTAGTGGGAACAGACCTTTAATAAGTAGGTTGACAGTCTCTATATAAAGTAGTTTAGTTAAAGTTACAGTCTATGTACGGTTTCTTTCTGTCTCTCTGTCTATCCAGTATCCATCCATAATAGCCTCTAAAGTCCACTGCTGAACATAGACCTCACCCTTAGATATCATCAAAGAAGGGATTATGCATGTAAGTTCAGCCCTAACTTCGAAATTTGTTGACGATTGAATGAAAATTTTGAGTAAGCCGTTTACAATATGCCACAGATATATACGCAAACTTAGAACAAAGCCCATGTCCTAACTTAACTGCATTGAATAGGTA